CGCTTTCAGCACAGAAACTTTGGATGCATTATATCGTATCTCTGTCTCAGACAACCTAGTTTTTCTTCCTTAGAAGTCAGCTAGCCAGAGACGTCCTCTCGGGGCCCTCGAGGGCTGGGGGGCCCTCCTCTTCTGCTCAGCTGCACGCGGCTCTCCTCCTAGCCCCTGTGGAGGCTGAGAAGCAGCCACGTAGAGTCAAGGTATCTGAGAAATGCTATCCTGACAGAACGACGTCTGTGCACACCTTTGTCTCAGTGCTTTTAAGACCGCGATCCTCTGCAGAGCGGCTGCTGCGTTGTGTGGTCACAGCACAGCTTGCCTTCTGGGTCTCCAGAGCGGGAGAGCGCAGGTTTCCTTATTTGACTTTGGTGGTTTGAAAGAGAAATTATGTTCCCCTAGCTCTTTGTTTCTTTGTTTCTCTCTCTCTCTCTTATTTTAAGGCATGCAGGAGCATGAGTCAGAAAGGTCCGCTTAGCTTATGTGTGCTTAGTGGTTTGTTTGTTCCTTTGTTTTTTCTCCTTTCTCCCTTTTTATGTGAAGGAGTCACACAGAAGAGTTTGACCAGACTGCCCACTGTGTTTAAAAAATGATGGTGAGGAAAAGGCCGTGATTTCAGACTCATTTTCACAAACCCTCCAGTGGCTCTAAAGGCATTTGTAAGGACTCTTCTGCCCCGGGACATTGCCAAGGTGATGGCCAGAGCTTTTATGGCAGGTTTGAACCCTTCGGCTTTCATTCTGAGCATCACTTTTCTCTTGTCTAGTTTTATCACCTTAGTTGTTCTAGATGTATTTTTAGGTTAATGTCACTCTATAATATAGTTGGATAATTTTATGTCAACTTGAAGATGTATAAAGTGTAGGGGTGGAGTCCGACCCTGTCAATCAGATCAAAGTCTGATGCTGTTTCCTCAGAGGTGTGACCTTATAAGGTGGACTCTAGACACCCCCCCCCCCCCCCCACACACACACACACACACACTGGCCCTGAAACTGCTGGAGCCCTGCCATGTTTCCACAGAACTTGGGTCCACAGGACTCTGTGACTTTCCTGCATTCTGCTTCATTGCATGTGGCTGTTTGAATCGGAAGAGGGATTTATAGACCAATATCAGACTTGTGGACTTGAGTTGGACTGGGCTGGGATGCTTTCTAGACATGTGACTACTGCTTGATATAAAGCTCTTTCTTATACATGTATGAGTGTCACTGGATCTGTTCTCTAATCAACCCACTTGGCCTAACACACACCTCAAATACCATAGAGCAAGCCATCTGGATCTGTGGAAATGAATTGTGTCCTTTTTACTGCTTCTTGGTTAACAATAAATGAAAGCATGAATAACCACATTTTCAAAAAGTCAGAGAATCTAAAACAACGTGCTTTAACGCGGCTGTTTCTAATGGAGAGTAAGGAGGGCTGATGACTAGAGATTTAGCTTTTAGGGGCTGTGGGACTACAGCACATGAAGTTGGGTATGGCTATATAGCAGGGCCCTGGTGGTTCAACAGGTTAAATGTTGGGCAGCCAGCCAACTACAAGGTTGGTGGTTTGAGCCCACTAGCCATTCCATGGGAGAATGAGGAGGCAGTCTGCAATATAAAAACCACAGCCTCTGAAACTCTATGGAATAATTCTATCTGCTCTGTCAGCATCAACTCCATAGCAGTGGTTTGCCTTTTTTACATTAAAAAAAATAGATATGTAAGATATTGGCAAGGAGTCCTAGTGGTGCTGTAGTATAAACCCTGAACTTGCTAACCACAAGGATGGCGGTTCAAGCCCACCAGTTGATTTTTGGGAGAACAACGAGGCTGTCTGGTCCTGTAGAGATGTACAGCTTTGAAAACCCTATGCATGGTCCCTGTGAGTCAGAACCGACTTGATGGCAGAGGCAGGACATTGGCAGACCACATATAAGCACCTTTAACATACAGCAGAGCCTAACAGTTCGCAGAAAGCTCAGATTTGTTTCCCGTCTCGTTCCCCCTGCCGCTATCCAGTATCTGTTAGTTGTCTCAGTTTTAGGCTTGGACGTTCATAATCCTTGTTTGCACTGGAAATGAGATGATCCTGCCTTCAGGGTAAGCAGAGAGGTTCTGCAAAAGAAAAAGGAAAGGCTCAGGTGAGGCCAAGACCTGCCCCACTTCTGCAAGTAAAAATGGGCTGGAGTTTAAGCTGGGAGGAGAGAAAAGACGTTATAAACTCTCCTGGGAAAGGCACATATTTCCCGGAGAAGAAACGGAAAAGTGACTTGACTTGTACTCTGCTTTAGCTGGGGCCTAAGAGCAGACCCTAGTGTGCAGAGTATTTGTCAGGGAAACGTAAGTACCTAGTACCAGCCCACACAGGGCTGGACTGGAGTGTGTGAGACTTACAGGCCTCACTTGGAAACTCTAGAAACGGGAGAGCTGTTTCAACACGTCGAGGGGAGCAGAGCCCTGGGGCAGCTGGAAGGAGAGAGGCGCTTGTTCCTGTTATGTTTTGTATTCCTAAGTGAAGCAACCAAATAAAAACCAAACCTGTTGCCATTGCGATGATCCCAACTCATACTCAGAGCGACCCTTTTGGGCAGGGTAGAACTGCCCCTTAAGGTTTCACAAGTCTGTGTGGGAGCAGATTCCAACAGCTTCCTCTTGGGGTGTGGCTGGTGGGTTCCAATGACCAATGTTTCCATTAGCAGCTGAGTACTTAAACACTGCACCACCAAGGCTCTTTAATGAAGCAAAGGATTGAAATATACCTCAAAAATGCATAACATTTTGAGAATTTATTGTTGACGACCCCTATGTGCTAAATAGTGTACAGAAAATCCCATGGCCCAAATCAGGTGAACTCCAACTAGATCTTTGGTCTCTATCCTGAAGGCTGTGGTTTAGGGCAGTAAGATTGGCACACGAATACTGACCACTGGTTCAGAAGTAGGCAGAGGGCACCTCTGGCCTCCTCTGACTTCACAAAGGGAACAAAAGTCCAACACATCTGCCCAGAGGTCAGACATACCTCACTGCTGCCAGCCTTCGTCATCCTATACAAATATCAGCTGTCTCTCCCATGGCACTACTCTTCTTGAGTTCTAGAATCTGTTGCAGTGGCCACACAAAACTCACAGACAATAGTCATGATTATAGGATTTATTAAAGATGCTAACAAATTACAAGTCAGAATCAGAAATGTTATAGATACAGTTCTATGTGATGCTTGTTTTTAGCTGAGTCAGCAGACACAACTGTCTTAGGATCAGACTCTTAGCCACTTAGCCTCTTGTCCTCTGTCCGGTTCAGGCAAGGAATCAAAAGCTCTGTTAGTGCTGATAAATGCCCCAGGGCCACCCCATTTTGCCCAAAGACTCAGCTTTATTCATTCCATGGGCCAGAAGTTTGCTGCTCTTTCTCATATTTTCTGAGCTGCTGCCTCTGATGCCCCACGCACAGGTATCTCAGGTGTGCTCGACTTCTTTCATGGCTCTTCTTTCTTGCTGATTGTGAGGTTCTCCTGCTTCTGAGATGGCTCACTTTATTCTCAGCAGAATGGAAAGACTGTCCAAACCCCAGGTTAGAGACCTCTGCATCTTGTATGTTTACGCCCATCCAGGTCTTTGGTGGAAGTTAAAGAGACTGTGGATAGAAGAACCATACCAAGAAATTCAACTGTGCTACAGCTAGTATCTGGAGAGGTAGTGGATGCTACATAACAGGCACCCAGATGTGACACTGCACTGGAAGGAGAGCTTGATGAAAAACCAAACCTGCGGATTCTGATTCATGGTAACAGTCTTGAGGGTTGCTGAGATGACACATTTTTATGGGAGCAGCCAGCCTCCCCTTTTCCCCATAGAGTGGTTGGTGAGCTGGAGTCCGAGCACAGCACCCAGCCCACCACACCGTCAGGGCTCTTTTGACCATTACTGGAATCCCACTGTAAAGGCTTGAACTGAACCGAGAGCAGAAACTGTGGCCACCAGGAGCAAAGCAGCTTACACTCTCACAGTGTTGGTCCAATTACAACTCCACAAGGTGTGTGAGACCATTTTTGGATAAGGAAACAGGCCTCTACCAAATCTCAGTGGGCTCAGTCACGTTTTCTAGGCCACAATGATAGTAACTCAAACCCAAGACCAAACTCAATGCCATTGAGGTGATTCCGACTCATAGTGACCCTGTAGGGCAGGGTAGAACTGTCCGTGTGGGTTACCCAGACTGGAACTGTTTACAGGAGTAGACAGCCCGTCTGCCACCTACTTTAGGCCCAGAATTCAAAGCCAGGCCCCACTTCCATGTCTGGTTAGGGGTTCGAGGTCCACTAGACTCTAGAACCCTTGCTCCTTCGTTCTGTCCATGTTAGCAGGAAGGCTCTGCTGATGTAAACAAAGGGAGTAGTAATTAAAAAGTGGAAATCCTATTTGAATGTACGTGTGTACTTTTCCTGGGGTTTAAAACGGTATTCCGTTGAGAATTGCAGTGGTGAAAGTCTGGAGAGGAGTGGCCCAGCTCGCCTTGCTGGGAGGGGATGTAGGCTCTGAGCGGTTCTGGGTGCGCACTTGGCCTCTGCCAGGGGCTCCAGGAGAATGGGGGCAGAGGGGAAGCACGGCTCACTCTCCTTGATCTCCTTGGAGGGCAGAGTTGTCGGATTGCTACATTCATGCTTAAGGAACACGTCTTGAACTAACTTAGGTTTAGCTGTAGAAACTGGTGCTGTTGGTTCAGAACCAACCCCACCCCTCCCTGCGTTTTGCAATAACCTTTTTGAGATGGCAATTGTGTTTCTAGAAGTAGAATGACAGAGAGATTCCCTTAAGGCAAATACGGAGAGATTGTGCTGTACACTCCAGTTCAGACACATGGGGCTGGGAACTCCCAGAGAGAGAGAGAAAGAGAGAGAGAGTGCGCACGCACGATCAAGAGGGAGGGCGGGCGGGAGTGAGGGCCAGAGGGAGGAGAGAGAACAACAGAACAGTCAGCTGGAGAAGAGGGAAGAAGGGGGAGGAGACTGGTCTTTTTTTTAAAAAGGATTTTTAGACTCAAGTGATTTTGGGGGGGGCTCCTCCCCACCCCGAGCCCTTGCCCCCCACTCTGGCATCTGCTTTCCTGCAGTTCACTTGAAGTGCCTTCTTGTAGTCCAAGACCAACTGACCACTGAGTGTGAGCAGCCCTCTGACATGATGTACCTCTGGGTGAGTACAGAGTGCTGTGGGTGAGAGTTTGTACTTGCACATATAAGGAATGGAAAGCTGTGAGGTTCTTCTCTTGCCCAAATGCCCTTCTCCACCGAGCGCAGGCAGCCACTGCCCCTGCCACTCACAGGTGTGTTAGGCTTTCAGACCCTGGTAGTGACTGTGACATTGTTTGTTTTCTTTCTTTTCAACATTGTTTATCTTGTTAGACTTGGGCCCCAGGGCTGAGCTCCCAGCACTGTGCCATTCCCTGGGCCTGGTGGGTTCGGAGAAGACAAATGGGGCAGGTGAGATGAGCTGGTGGCTTCAGGAGCCGCTGTCTTCCTGCTGGCTCACGATAGACCTGTGTTGGCTTTGGGGGCACTGACCTTGATAATCCTGCCATCTCTTTAGCTCTCGAGAACCAGTAGGTGGCATGATTCTCTATTAGGAATAAGCTTTTGTAAAATTTTAATCTAATAATTTCTATTATCCTTCACAATAGTCTTGTGAAGTAGGTCACTGTTGTTATTGAAATTTTATAAGGGAAGTAATTAAGTCACAGAGCGACTTGCCCAAAGTTAGATGCCTCATCTGTAGCCGCTAGAATAATAATTAATAACCAGACATTATAGAACATTTCTAGTTGCCAAGAATGTATACCTTATATTTGCTGCTTCCTGAGTTATTGTTTATTAATTTATTGTTGATTGTGGTATTGCAATGTGGGATGCTGAGAAACTTACTGGAGTTGGAGAGGTTTTTGACACTGTGAAATGTGATTACTTTGAGAACCAGGAAAGTAATAATGGGGGAAGCACAACCCCAACACTGTTGTGAAAATGAGGACACCCAGAGCCCCTTGCAAAGATGGCGGTGCGTTCTCTTGAGCAGACAGCTGTTGTGTGTTGCTAAGGGAGCCTATTAGATGCGATGCCATTGGCTACTAGCCAGTTTTTGAAAGTTTCACTTTGCCCTTTGCCCTTCAGCCCAGATGTCTGGAATTGTAGGAAACCTACTTGGCTCAGGCCAGCTAAATTTATAAATATTAGAAGGCAAAATTTTAACAAGAGAGTCACAGAACGGAGTGTGTGCGCTGGAATAAGGGGCTGCTTTTTCTGCTCCTTCTTTTAGTATTTGAATATGACCTTGGGGTGTAATTTTCTCCGCTCTGTTGGTTGCTTTTTATGCTATTTCTGAGAAGTCAAAGAACTTTCCTGACACTCTGATGTGCTTTACAGCCATTCCCTCCTCTGTGTGAACTCACCAGTCATGAGTATCTAGGCTCCTTGCAACCTTGTGAGTGGGACCCATCAGCACTGTCTTGTCTGTCACTCGGAGGATGGGCTATTCTGCCTTGCAATTTGTTTGGAAGAAGAGTTATACAAGGAGGCAAGTTGAATTAATCATCTTTTTGACGAACACACGCAGTAACATTCTGCTCAGTTATTCCCTTTGGGCTCTTACTACAGTGATTTGTATTTGGTTCCAACCCCTTTCCCTTACTAGCTCGTAGGACAGAGCATTGCACTCATCCAACCAGAGTGCTCCATGTTGGATTGTATTCCAGGACCTCTGCTCCTCAGTCTGGGGAGCAGCTAAATAGGGTTTGGGATTCCCCTGGCCGCTTTGACCATGTTTAACATAGTTTCTCTTTGTGCCATAAAAACATTACCGTTACTTTTTTTTTTTTAACTGTATCCCATGACATCAGAAAGTCAGGGAAGGCCTGTCGAGAAGGGTGAGAGTGTGTCTGCTCTCTCTCTTTGATTTATGCATTGACTAGCTCAGGACCCCACACAGTTACTGAATTGGATGAAGATGATCACCATGAGCCATAGTTGTGTCACACTGCCCACGTACAGAGAAGACAGGAACAGGCGATCTGAGTTGCAGTCTAGGTTTAGCCAGTAACCAGCCATCTGACCCCAGTGGGGGCGGTTATTAAACTTTTCTGAGCTTCCGTTTTCATATTGTAAGATAATGGTATTGATCCAAATCTTTCCTACTTATAAAATTCTGTGATGAGGATTTTTCACAGCAGTAGAAAAGCTAAAAAAGATGCTCAGTTGTACAAGAATGTTTAGGCCTAGCGAACTTCTTCTGTTATGATATACGCTTTGAAGTGTATGATATGCACTGCAAAACGTACACCACCTTTATTACCTACTTGGTTGGGTACCAACATTGAATGAAAGGTGCAATTTCTGTTTGTTTGTTTTTTAAAGAAAAAAATACTCCTTTCTCGTAGGTGAGAGCATTCAGAGAACTTGTAGAGCTGGAGAGTCCCCACTTGTCTAGCGGTTTAGATTATGTCGCATCAGACGCAATTCGTTAGTTTGCGCCTGTATCTAGAAATTTGAGATGGAATGCCTCTTGGGCTTTATGCATGTGCCACTCACTTTGTACACAAGGACCTTATGGAAATATTAAAAATAAAAATACAAACTTTATTTCCCAACATACGCTCCACTGAGGTCAAGCTGCTTTTGTATGTGATGTCAGCCATTTCACCCATCCAGAAAGAAAGGCGTGGCCGGAGAATCTAACCGTTGGTTATTAGCTGAAGAAAATTGTGTGCCCGTTGACGACTTTTTTTGAGACGAGGCCAGGAAACGAAGTCAAAAGGAGCCAAAGGTTAGGTAGATGCCTAGTGATTTCCTAGCTGAAAACTTACAAAGTTACCCTGTCTGGTGGGAGGAGTGGGCACAGGACCATTGTCTTGGAGCAGGAGGAGGGGGATTCCAGAAGAGCTCTCCCAGTGCCTGGGCGAGGCCAGCTTTCTGACAGCACTCCCCTGATGACCAGATGTTATCACACTTGGGCCCTCCAGAAAGTAAACAAGTAAAATGCCTTGAGCTGCTCTTTCAGTTGTCCTGACCTTTGCCCACCACCAGCCCGCTTTTGTTTTGACTGGATCACTTCTTCCCCTTGGGCACCCTGGCTTTGCTTGTGCCTTGTCTTCAGGGTCCTATAGGTAAAGCGGAGCTTCTGGATTCCGATCCTATTTTGTTTTAAAATTTCCACAGAAAGCGCTGCACATTTCTGCAGCTCATCTGGGTGAATCCATTTGGCCCTCCATTGAACAGAAAGTTTAGCGACTGGTGTTTAAGTGGAACTGGTTGAGATGTCTGTGGTGTGAGTTGTCAGCCCACCCCCACCCCACCCCCCTTTTTTTTTTTTAGAGTATGAGGGGCAGCATGGACAAGATGACTTCCTGTCTGCTAGCTGTGGCTGGGCTGCAGCTGCAGGCTTCATCTCACATCTGCCTTGCCCTTCTTAGAACGAGTTACCTATTTGTAAGCTGTTGGTATCTCGGGCATTGTCCCCACAAACTTTCTGTGAAGCATCAATAATTTCACCATCTTTCACCTAAATACCACCATAGATTTGGTATGTGTTCTTGCGGTCAGGTAGCATGATTCATAGTGCTCTGATAGGAGCTCTTTTCAAACCCTATGTCTTATCCTTTCTAGTGCCTCAAACTGTACTCTGTTCAGACTTGTCATAAGTTCGTATTGAAATCCATTCAGATTTTCCATACTACACATTTTGCCATGAACTTTAGTGTATACCCCTCATACATTAAAGACACATCATAGGCTATCTAAAGTTTCACAACAATCCAGAGTAGAAAGCATTGTTTTCCGTGTAGGATAAAGAAGAAACCATCCTCAGAGTGGTTGAAGAACTTGCTTATGGCCAATAACCAGAAATGGCAGAGGTGGCGTTAGATCCAGTGACGTTTGCTTCTAAACACAAACATTCTCAACACAGAGAAAACACTCAGGATGATGAGCTGTCAGGAGATCTATGCAAATGTTCTTCCTGTCATCTTGGGGTGTTTTGAATTCCTGTAAGGATTCAATTGATAAACTAGTTTGCTGTGGAAACCCCTTCCCCCTTAATTGGTATTTTTTAGGTTGCCTGCTAATGGAGGAGCAGTTGAACTGCTAACCACAACCTCAGCAGTCTGAAACTACCAGCCAAACGCAGGTAATTTCTACTCCCATAAAGAGGTACAGTCTCGGAAACCCGCAGGGGCCATTCTGTCCTGTCCTGTAGGGTCGTTAGGAGTCAGCATCAACTAGATGACAGTGAAAGAGTAAAAAGCAAAACTTTTGTTTGGGGGATGGGGAGGTATAAGATGATGGAGCATTCATTATGCCACCTATTCTCCCTCTTTATTTCCCAAATCAAACGGGGTGGAAACTGGCAGCTAGACAGACATGATAATTGTACTGAAAGAATACACTTGTTCGACTGTCCACCGAGGCACCTAAATTGACCACAAACACAGCGTTAAAAATGTACTGAAAAGCTTGGCTTATACTTGAGTATATACGGTATGTGCTTTCTCATTGAATCCTCACAATGGGATCGGTATCATTACCTCATCATCCAGGTGATGGAGTGTGTGTGTAACAGTGGATGGCATAGCTTTAAACTGAGACAAACACGCCTTTTTAACAAACGACGTACCTCTTTCACATTGCCCCCTTGCATTTTTTAGATGGCTTTTTGTTTGTTTGCATGCTTGTTTTTTAAAACTGATTATTGTATGATTACCTATTAAGCACATGAGTGGCCTTCAAAAAGTTCGTGGAAGTATCCATTATCTTTCAGTTCCATGAACTTTTTGAAGCCCCATCATATCCTTCATTTAGTCCTCAATACACCAGACAGTTAATTATTATCTGCAGTGTACAGATGAGAAAGTTAAAACATCAATAACTCGCTAAAGTCACACAATTTAGAATTGGCAGAGCTAGAATTTGAACCCTGGCCCCAAAGCTTACCACAGCGTATCTGTTGCAGAGTTCCAGTTCATCACTACTGCTGTTCGGTCTCATGCAGAGCCAGAGTGGAGAAAGGAGGGAGCACAGTGAGACTGAATTCTGTTCTCATTCCTTGAGACAACTTACTGAATTGGATGTGCCTTTGTTGTCCAGATGGGGAGGGTGTGATAGTGCTGGGAAATATCAGTGTGTTCATCGCGAACAAACGGACCGGTCATTTCA